CTAAAATGAATAGCACTGTAAATGTATATGCCTTTTATGGTTTAACTGTTGAGAATTGTTGAATTTTCATTCGGTTCAGTCTTGATTTGTCTCACCTGGGCAAAGTGTTCCCATTGACACGCAGCTCTTTGAAGCCCTTTTCATATTGAGCCAACTCATCAAACTCTCTTAGCCACCTCAAGACATCCTCCTGCGTCCAGTTATGAACTGATAGAGGGAAAGAAAGCAGTGAAAGAACCAAAAGATGGGCAGAAAGTGACATTAAGAACATACTAAGACTCAATCATGGAGACTATCCTACCCTCAGAAGATTTCCAGCCTTTCCAAAGCTCCTCCAAAGTGATATGCTGGTCCTCGTGATGGAGTTTACTGTGCTTGTTTGCCTGTTGTTGCTGCTGCATATCTTCAATGATGAACTACAGTAAGAAGCCAAGAAGAGATGCGGACGCATGAGAAATTGTTTGAAATTAACTTCAGACACCCAAGTCCTACAAATGCAGTGACACACACGTAAAACAACAGCTGAGTAAACATTCAAGATCGAAAGAGCTCAAGTGTCTGTGAATGTGTTTTGGTATCTGTCTCTGCTGTAATCAGATGCACCGTGTGATTCCCGGATTCTTCACTGCTTCGATCCATCTAAACCATATCTATAGCAACAAGGAAAAGAAACCCAATACCAGAGACACGGACGTACGTCAGGACATTGCTTGGAAACTCATCCCCCTCTGCTATGTTCTCCCAGTGCAAAGCCTGAATGGTTTGTCTGAGGTGCTGGATAGAAACATGTGTTTCAAAATTGACCAACAGGCTTGAGAAAGGGTGCTTTGGCATAACACTTCAGCTTTTACACAAACATCACACAGACATACCAAAATAGTTAAGATGAGCTTGTTAGTCCTTAGACTTCACAACTACTACATTTGTGCTACTCTACCACTTGTTCAATTTAGCAGCAAACTATTAAATAAAAACCGAAATAAGAAGTATTACTCTTGTAGTATTTCACTGTCAAACAATTTAAGTATTTAAGAAAAATAATATAATCATTTTATTTTACATTACAACCGTAAAATTGCAATACTAACATTTATGGCCGTCTTCATTTTCAAATGTTTAACATCACGCTTCACGTTGAAACATGCAGCACATATATTGAGTTAATTGAATTGCAACCTTTGAAATAAACACACTAAGCCATAATGCAATTTTAGTCTATTTCGATTAATCATGCAGCCCCCGTTTCAAGGCTTTGAAAAGTAATTTAACATTCTATCATTTTTTTTTACAGTTTTTCTAGTTATAAAATATTTAATCAGCTGTTTAAATTGCTCTCTTTTTTTATCCATTTGACTGTTACATGAAAATGCATAGGCCAGGAGGTGTGGAAACCCTGCAGGATTCACATTAGGGTGTGAGGAAACTGATTTTCTGACTTGTGATTGTAACATCTGTGAACGCTGATTACCTCGACACTCTCCTCCACCTCAATGCCTCCATCCTGATCGTCATCCATCTCTCTGTGGATGTGCTGAAGAGCCTCCAGGCTGAAGCGGTCAGCCTCTGTCATACACGGAGGGCTCACTTGCAGACATGGATCTGTGATGAAAGTGGACAGTTAAACATTTCACTACAGCAGTTTCACCAAGAGGTGTCATGAGTGTGTGTGTAATCGTATTATAATAAATGCATTAATAATACATTTTTCTAGTTATGATCAGCTACAAAATATTTAATCAACTGTTTTAACTGCTCTTTTCTTATCCATTAGTCTGCAGATTGCATGGATCTTCAGAATGCCAAGGGTCATGCTGAGGTTTAGCAAATATAAACATTATAAATATGAACATTTCTGTATATTTGGTCGTGCACACGTGCCTGAGGTCACAGGTGTGTCCTTGTACAGTCCAGGGTGCTGTGCTTCATCGCTGGAACAGATGCAGATGATGAGTCCGAGCAGCACCAGCAGTACGGTGAGGCAGAACTTATGCATCGCAGGGTTCAAGTGCCACTTACTGTCTATGATTTAAAAAACACATGTGCATCCAAATGCAGCGTTACGTGATATTGATGCTATAAACAGCTCCAGCTCCAAGAAAAGGTTTGGCGCGCCGGTTAGAAAAGCAACATATTGTGTAATGTAGTAGGAATTACATAAAAAAATAAATCACAAAAAAAACGACAAACTGTTAGAAATGTTTGTTCGCAACCCCAAAGGATAAATCACAACATTTAAAAAGACAGATACATCCCCCCAAAAAATAAAAATGAATGAATGAATAAATAATAATAAAAAAAGGATTCCTTGTTACATCCCAAAGCAAAAGAGGAACAAAGTAAACAGAATAATAAACATGACAGGAAAACGTTTAACGAAAGAACTCTCCCAACACGGAGTCAAAAATACAAATAGCTACGATGACAAAGAATAGAAGTCCTTCTGAAAGCCAGGTTCCTTATGAACGAAGATTCTTATGAAGCGATAGTAACGTTACTTCTCTCTAGAAATGTTTGGATAATGAACGTGTTCTAGTCACTAAATGTCACTAAACTTTGCGTGCGTCTGCACTTCCAACGCCAAAAGCTGATTTACTAATCCCACTCATGAATATTAATTAGATCGCGTGCCGCTTGCCAAGTACACTGATTTGCTGAGAAGGAGACGTTGACGTGGGATATGAATATTAATTAGGTTACGTGTTTGGACTGAACTTTAGTAAGAAATGTCAGTATTAACGAATCAAAATTAATTAAACAATAAAATATTCAATAACGGGTAAATGACGCTCGTTCTGCAGGGATATTGTTCAAAACTAAATAATGCAGTTCATACAAGTATTACATGAATATACTTAATGTATAATGAACAGCTTTAATTTGTGACTTAATTTATATTCTTAAAGTAACAAATTAGTCTTAGAAATGTTGACTAAAATAGTTGTATTATTGCTGTTGTTTATTTACTTTATCAAGTCTAAAGTCTTGACTTTCATTGTATGCACTAAAACAGCCGAAATAGTCTTCAAGATGTCTTTTTGTGTTAAATGTAACAGGTTTGGACGGATATGATGGAGTAAATTAAGTCTTAAATTAAGTTTTTAATTTGGGAGCATCTCTACACCCGACTCAAGAATGATGACAATACTAGGCAAACTTTATCCTATTCAAGAACCTTCCATTTGGGGGCTTTCACAGTAAAACAACACATTTGCTCTCTCATATAGGCCCGCATGTACACAGACACACACAAGCCTGGTCTCAGGATTACATTTAGATCCCTATCAGATGAACATGGTCGACGACTCGTACACTCAGAAACGGCAACAGAAAGAAAGATTCAAGTTACACCTCAACAACTCCATATGATCTAAAAATAAAATCTGGGGCATGAGCGAGTGGATGCCAAGCAGTGGGGGAAACGCTTGGCCCTTGAAACATGTACATGTGACAGGTGTCCGTCACTGAAATTCAGGGCAAACTCACTGCAAAGTCAATATGAGAAACACCATCTCATTTCTGCCCCTGGTGGCCAGCATAGATGTCATCAATGGAGAGAAAACAAATAGATTCTGTAGGCTTTGCTTCTCAAATGGGATGTTGACTTTAAAACATGGGTTTAGTTCTGTGTGTGTCTAAATCGGACAATTTGATGTTGCTGTCCTATTGGTTAGCGTTGGAGAAGAATTTATGGGATTCCACTATATTGCAGAATCCCTCATAACCAGTAAAGCTAGAATTTCAGCTACTTGTTTAGATCGGTTATCATTTCAAGAGTCTTAGTGGTATTGAGGTCCAATTTGTTGTTGCCACACCACAATGTAAGTCAATCTACTTCCCCACTGTAAAGATTTGCATCTCAATTAATATTGCAACCACTCAGAGTGGTAAACAGTGGGTGTGTTGGGAATGGTATACCACCATACTGTAGTGTTTCGTGCACTGCTACTCAGCAGCGCTGCATGACTAAACTGGGGTTCCCCCACAACAAAAAGCAATTCTCTAGGAAACACTTTTTGTAGTATGAGGTTATTTATACTGTGAACCATATGAATATACATGAAGCAACATTAAACCGCTACTTTTAGCATTTGACCAAATTACTATTTCATCGGAGAGTTAGGACATTTATACTCAAAACTAGATTAAAAATGCAAAGGATAACCATAGCGGTCAAATAATTATAATTTTATTTTTATGTCGTTTTTTTTTTCTTTCTTATGAACTTTCTATTCCTCAAAGTATCCAGAATTTTTTTTTTCATGGATTCCACAAAAATATTAGCAAAACACTGATATCCATAATTAACAATTGATAATTATAATTTTATTTTTATGTCGTTTTTTTTTTCACCAGTTATTTCATAAACAATACATTAAAAACAGTAATAGTGTGAAATATTACAAATGAACTGTTCTATTTTAATATATTTCATAATGTAACTTATTGCTGTGATGATAAAGCTGAATTTTCAGCAGTCATTACGCCAGTCTTTAATGTCTCATGATCCTCATAATTAACAATTGACCAAATCAGCATAATAGAATGATTTCTGAAGGATCATGTGACACTGCACGTCGCACATTTAAAAAAATTACATTTAAAAAAATATTCAAATAGAATTTCACAATATTACTTTTTTATTGTATTTTTAATTTTTAAAAAATTTAACAAAAAAACCCCCCACAGCCTTGGTGAGCATGAGACTTCTGTCAAAAACATTAAAACGTACTTATTATTCAAAATTGTTGACAGCTAGTGCGTGTATACTTTTTATACATGTATACAATTTATGCTCATTTATTGTTTAGTCCATACAATAAAAGTCAATATGGTCCAGCATTTTTTCAGATCACACTGACTTTCATTGTACTGGCAAAAACAACCAAAACTTTCTTTAAAATATATATAACTGTGTTCCATAAAAAAAAACTAAAATCATACAGTTCATGCCATTTTCATTTTATGCACACAGTGGTCAGTATTGCAATCTCCATACCACACTTCCTTGATGGTTTTAATTTAGCACCGTAAAAGACAAAAATAAATGAAAAACTTGACACTTTTTGATTCTATTACAGTGTTTAGTGATCCATTCCAAAAGCAACAGATACACTGGCCCTTTAAGAGTTAGACAGCACCAATACGGTTCAAATCTGCTAGAGAGCATGCACTCAAAACCAGAACAGCTGGTAGCTATTTGGCAAAGGCTGGTAACTTCCCAAATGTAAAACAAACCATTGAAACGCTTGAGAAAACAGACATCGATTCTCACCTCTTCTTTTTTCTACAGACAAAACTGACAAAGATAACAGTGATCTAATACACTAGTTTCTGTTCAATGTAAGCACAGTGGCACAGGTGACAGGCAAACTAACTAACCTGTGTGACAGAAATGATGAAACTCAACATGGTTAGTCTTGAAATGAACCAATCAGGTCCTCTGATTCGAACACTCTGGAAGACAACTGGATACAAGAGGAAAATAACACTGAAAGCATAAATGGAAAAGTTGTGAGTGACCTTCACAATTTGACCTTTAGATTTGGCAGTTTTCATTTCGGCACTTGCACATGGTATGCTTTAATATTCTTCCCTGATTGAGGAACTCGAAGAAAAAAGCTCACAGTAGATACTAGTTAATGGCTTTGCGAGAATTACTGGGTTTTAGCTTTTATTTCTTCCAAAGCAAGTTTCTAATGCAGACCAAACCAGGCTTATTTAAAAAATATATATGATATACAAAAGAAGTTTCAGTCATTTTCCCTCAATCATGGAAGAAATGTTTAGAAATATTAACATTAAAATAATATTTCATACTGTAACAGCAATAATGTTGTATAAAATAATCAATATAACATTTAGACTCATATATTATTAATATTAGCCATGATAGAACCTGATAAATTAAAAGAACCAAAACCACTGAGGAACTACTTCTGCTGTTCCTGTATAAATCCCAAAAAGTAACAAAATACAGTCCATACCGTGCTATTTCACAAGTGTCTCTTTCTCTCGGATCAGACGATGCATGTAGAGTTGGGTGGGGGAAAAGTACATAAACAGGACAGCAAAAGAAACAAAGATCCACAGAAAGAGCAGACATGAGATGACATTTTGCTCTGTGAATTATACTGAAAAAGGTATAAACACACTTTTCACAAAAGGACATAATTTGTAGTGTAATATTCTACCAACAGATCCTGTTATTAAGCAGTAGTGGTTTAAGGCTTCATTTCTAGTTGCTTTAGATAATAGCGATTACAAAATCGAACATTTGGTACAAAACCCCCAAAAAATTTAATGTGACGTCAGTTTAAAAGGGCACATTTTGACGCAGCAGTGATGCTCATGAAGGCTGTGCCACTTCTGCGGTTTCATGAATCAAAACATATGAAAGGAAGGATAAGATTTAATTTCCTGTAATCTACAAACCAAACATCATCACGCAGCAATGCGAGAGCAAGTGCTTTTTTCCGGTTCATTTCATTCAGCTTGACACTGCTAAGCTAGTTGGCTACAAGCAGGGATGGGTCCAAAAACAAGCTAGTCAATTAGTGAGGTTGACTAGTTTATCTAGATTTTTAGTACAACCATTACACATTCAAACATCCATTTGAGCATCTCAGTGGTAAGTGTTGTTTTTAAGATGCCATGTTTAATTAAAAATATTCAACTAACTAGAAGACTGATTAGTGAACTAGCTGGTCAGGCCACCCAGATTTACTGAACGGGGCATATTAGCGTGAGACCACAATCCCATAAAAAGGTAAAAACGTTGATAGGAGTGGAACGTTTTGCGGTTGATCTACTGACAATGTGCAAATTAATGTAGACGTAGCCTGACGTTTCCAATGACCAATGCAATCTACCAAGAGGAGCACAAATTAGCAACTATCGCAGGCATGTCAAGTGCAAAATGGGTTAAGACATGACTTTTTTTGTGCATATTAAATAATGGCGCAAATACCAGTAAACTGACTACTGCAAACCTTAGTAAATCTCATTGCATGATTCATTTAAATACTCTCCTCACATACATTTTGTGTCTAAAAGAGAAACTCCTACAAATGAATACGTAATAAGATCAGCCACAAAAATAACCGTATCCATGCCTTTTCATCACTAATTTTTCACTGTCATCAGTAAATTCTGACAGTAGCCTCTTAACGCCAAAAAGAGGGCTTGCACTGGTGCAAGCTGTTAGTAAATCTGACCCTAAATTGGTTGATTCTGAAAATTTTGCACATCTCTATCTAAAAACACTGAGATAATTCAAACTTTCATTCATGCATGCTACTTGTAACCTGACTATACTTACAGAATAACTACACTTCCTTCTCTAAATGGTTAAACCACATGACAACAAAGCAGCAATTTTCCTACATGCTGATTTTAGTCTGATACTAACAGTAATCATGACAATGAAAGCATGAATGATATGCAAATGAGACTAGTACAGTCCTTTCCTACCACAGGATTTGAGTCAACCAATTAATTCGAAATCGCAGACCTATTTAAAGAATTTTGTGTGCTTATCTTCAACTAAATATAAGCCATTTGGTGTGGGATACTTTATAGGTTACTGTTATGTTGGCAGCTTGAATATCTATAGCCAATGAAAAAGGGCCAGATCAATGGCTATGTGTATCTGATGAGTACGATGGGGCACATCCGGTCAACCGGCAAAGTCAGTTAAAGCTTTTGCATTAAAGACTTCATATGAGAAAACATTTTTAACAAATCAGAAGTCACCTTCTCCCAAATACACAAAAACGGCATCAATATTACATCTCGGTTTAGTGGAGGGGGGAAAAAAAACCAATGGGGAAAAAGACCAATATACATGACATGAAAATATTATTACAAAAGAGAAAGTGTCTGGTGAAACTCCAGAAGACTTAAGGCATTTGCCAAGACGAGTAAAGGCAGCTATAAGTTCAGGCTTTTAAAATGCGTGAACCATTTCCTTCTGAGCCCAAACACTCACAAGAAATATACAAAACTATTTGGTAACAAAAGTTTACTATATGTTATAAAACTGAAAAAGGTAAAAAAATGTACCTTAGCTAAAGCTTATAAAATTATATATCAATAAAAATAATAATAATAATAATAATAATATTCCTTGGTCCGTAAAAACTATATTACTATAACTTTTCTTCCAAGCCTGGCGAAACAGTGCATTAAGCCCTTTAGTAGAAAACAACATCTCTCAAAGCAATTTCCAGCTTGCACTTTACTTCGAAAAGGCTTTGTTTTGAAGAGACAGTATTTCTTTTTTTGCTTTTGATTGTTTTTTTTTTTGTTTTCATGTAAGGCTTATGCATTGATCCTGCGGCATCTTGATCCACGGCACACATCACTTCTGTTGCCACGTCCTCTGACATGAGGAAACAGATTGAAAAAGAACCGCAACAAAGAGAGACACAGAGAGAGAGAACAGAAAAGAGACATCTTCATTTGTTATGTCCAGTCTTTGTGTGAAGTCTTGTCTCTCATTCTTCTCTCTGTAGCACCGTTATCTGTTTTCGTGATCTGTATCTCATGAATCAAGGAAAGTCTATGTGTGGACGAATCACCATCTCTCACAAAGGCTCGCTCACTTACTCACACACTCAAACGCACATTGAGATTCCAAGGTTAGGAGACAGACATAGCCGAGGAAGAGGAGGATGAAGACACGCCTGTTGCCGCGTATCCTGCCTGGCTGTCAATGGCTGACTGCAGCAGTAGGCTGGAGGATGAAGATGGTGAGGTGGAGGAGTTGCTGTTGGCCCGCAGTATGGCTCCCGCGGCGCCGCAGTGAGGACGCGGTCCTGGCTCCGGCGTGTAGGTAAATGTCAAAGCTGTGGAGTAGATGATGCCATCATTACGGACCAAGGTCACAGGAACCTGCACTGGCTGCCGAACCCAACGCCACCCCTCACGGAAGGCAGAGATGTCGGGAACCACACAGAGCACACTTTCGCCACACCTGCAGGAAAAAGAATGTGAAAGCATGAATTGCTGGCAATTATGTAATGGATATTCTCAAGGTATACCTATGATGAAAATTACAGGCCTCTCTCATCTTTTTAAGTGGGAGAACTTGCACAATTGGTGGCTGACTAAATACTTTTTTGCCCCACTGTATGCAACGATTTTGCTCAAAGGAAAACATAGAGATCATTTCAATACATAACAGGGTATCTGCAAAGTTAAAGCCGCCTTTCCACTATCTCCGACAATTGACAAGCCATAAACTGGAAGTCATTCATTTCCAATGAAGAGTAGCGCGGGAGCTGCGTAGAAATCCTATCATATGCGTATGTGGAAATTTCGGATCCGATTTGAGCTTCGGATGCGTTAAAATATTTGAACTTCTGCGGCTAGACCGTATGCGACCGCCCGACCAGATGTGATGCATTTTAATCAAAACTATGAGCATGAGGCTAGAATTACCAATATTTTCCACTATAACAATTCTGTAAACACCATTTCTGTAAAATAGCAGTTTAGAATAATTATGGCAGAAATAATTATTTTATCATTATTAAATCACTATTAATGTTGATTAGCCCCATAAAACCTACTATGTTTTTATTTAGGGGGTCATTTGTTTTGTGTGGATACATTCATTATATTCTTTAAAATTATTCATTTTACCATGGTAAATAAGCCGAGGGTAACAGTTGCTTCACTACCAATTTGAAAGTTCTGTGCGAATGCCACTAGGGGGAGAAATGCAACAATCGTATCCAAATGTCAGAGACAGTGGAAAGGCGGCTTAAGATTTTAAGACCCTTATAATGAGTTATATCACCGAGTTAGATCATGTCCAAAGAGAGCAAAGTCTCATGATCTCAAAATAAATCCTGTATGTCAGATTCTTTAACTCAATTAAACGGGCTGTGGCACACATTCAATGAAGACTTAATGTTAACATGTTATTTCCCTTCTACTCTGTTCGCTTGGAAGAAGGTATGTCATGTTTATATGGAGTATCACTTAATACTGTTAATCAGAGAAACAGGGTAATTGCAGGGTAATCTGGTTTATGAATCAGTATGTCAAGTCTTACGAGATACAATAACGTGTTCAAAGAAAGGCAATAAACAAATTATTGTGCAGATACTAGTAAAACTATACACTGAATGTGTTAAATAAGGTTCTTAGTATTTCTTTCCTGTGACGGGGTGGCACAAAGATTAACTACAAGAGTTTATGTTGAACGAAATGCCAGATAGAGTTTTTGCAACCAAAATAACAATAATAACCAGAAAAGGATTATATGCAGAATGCAAAACCTTTAATTATAAACAAGCCCAACATGCACCAGAACTCTTATTTTGAAATGTCTATGATTTACTACTGCCAGCTGTTTTTCTATTTGCTGAACTGTATAACACACTGTAATTGGTGTGTTGGTTTCACCTGTACATAGTGTCTGCCTCTACATCTCCAAACCAGACTCTGAGGTTAGGCGTGAAGTTCTGTCCTGTCAGTTCCAGCATGGCAACATCTCCTCCTCCATTCAGCTACAACACGAAGGGTTCAAGGTTACTTTCTTACAAATAATATGACAGATTTCGATGCTCTTTTAAAGTGAAAGTTTGATGTAATATGTAGTCATGTATTACCTGTAAACTTTCAACAACAGGCACGGGTGTGACAGGTGAAGGTACAGGGCCCATCCCCTCATAGAAAGTGTACTCTGCTTTGTCTGTGCTGATGATTGTCCATGACGCCCCATCGTTGATCATTTCTTTGTTTGTTTCTTTGGGACAGGATGTGGCCTGAGAGTAGTCGGAAAATAGGCCTATTATAATTGTTTACCATTAAAAAGGCTACATTGCCTCAAAATGATTAAGATGATGAGAATTCAAACACAAATTTAGAGAACGTAATTTTTTTAATCAATTATAGTGCATTATTTCAGCCAATTACACTTTAGAAGTACCAATGGACAAACCTGGAACTGAATGATCCTCTCTTGTGACAGGCAGAGGTACATCCTCTCTGTATCTTTAAGGTAGAAGGAACATTTATGTAGTTGGGACACAGGATCGTCAGCATCCATTAGCGCTGTCTGCTTGTCCACTTTACGAATGATCTACACACAGACACACAACATTTCACTTCCTAAAAATCCTTGCTATGTAAACTGTTACACAAACATATTTGTACAAAGAAAAAATAGGACGTCAATTCAGAGTCTTCGATTCTTTGAACAGGACACAGTTTCTTAGCCCAACCCTTTTAATAATGAACAATCACAGTCATTCTGACTGATGAATGTTAAAGTGGATAACAGCTTACCAGTCGTGGAAGAGCCATGCCTGTCACAGAGCACACCAGCTTTACCGTCTGACCGTAATGGATATAACCGTCTCTGACTGTAAACTCTTCGCCCTCTGACTCATCATCATCCACTGGAATTCAAAATTACACATTAATACCATAAATAAACTAGAAAAACTGCATATTTTAAAATGTAAAAGACAAATACATCATTTTTACACATTCTTTCATTAGATGTAATGAACTCTGCTTGTGTCCTTCCAGATGCACTAGGGATCAATGCTAAGTCTTGGTGCTGTTTTTAACATACTATACGTGACCCTGGACCACAAAACCAGTCATAAGCAGCAATTTATAGCAATAGCCAAAAATACATTGTATGGGTCAAAATTATAGATTTTTCTTTTATGCCAAAAATCATTAGGATATTAAGTAAAGATCATGTTCCATGAAGACATTTAGTAAATTTCCTACCGTAAATATATAAAAAATGTATTATCATTAGTAATATGCATTGCTAAGGACTTCATTTGGACAAATTTAAAGCCGATTTTCTCAATATTTCGATTTTTTTACACCCTCAGATTCCAGATATTCAAATAGTTGTATCTCAGTCAAATATTGTCCTATCCTAACAAACCATACATCCATGGAACACTTATTTAATCAGCTTTCATGTGATGTATAAATCTCAATTTTGAAAAATTGACCCTTATGACTGGTTTTGTGGTCCAGGGTCACATATTGTGTTTAATAGACGATTGTGATAAAATACTCACATAGATGAATGTAGAAGGCTCCCCACTGTTGTGAACTAGCATGGAAGTTTCCCCCTTCCACATGAAGGTACCGCGTACTGACAGTCTGAGACCGCAAGCGGTTAAAAAGAGCCACCTTCGTCCCAGAAGCTATGCACACTATAAGAGACATTAAAAAATGAGACGAGTGAAAATTATGTCTCACTTAGGGACACAAACAAGAAATTCACTCACGTTCTGCATTCTTCAACGACTGTTTCTTTTTGGAAGGTTTGGAGATGACCTTGATTCGTTTGCTGAGGAAGACACCGATATCCGCACTGTTCCCGTAGAACATTTTCACTGTAAGCATGAAGTGCTTCCGTTTGTCCGAGTCAGAAATGTACAACGTTTTGGCTGTGCAAAAATTCTGCAGAAGCAAAGCACAAAAGCTATGATGTCAGAAAATTGATTTTTTTAAAGTTATTTTAGAAAGGCAGTTTCAATATGTGTAGCAATAAAAAAAATCCATAAAGCACCTTGCCCTCCAAGTTGAGCTGCTGCATCTCTTGTTCACTGTTTCCAATGCCGATAAAGGCACAAGGCTGAGACTCCTGCTCCGAGCAGCCCTCTCTCTCCATCTGCTCCTTCTTTTTCTTCCAGCCACAACCCATCAGGTACACACATGGTGGAGGACAGAAGAATCTAATGAAATCAAAGAGAATCCAAACTGATTAAAGAACAATTCACCTGGATGCTTGTATAATAAATTTGATTTTACACAGCCCTCCCTTCCTTCATTTACATGAAATGTGCACGAGTTATGTGTTAACTGGACTTCCCCAAAACTTGATTCATAGTCAACATAAAACTAAATCCGTTTAACTTCTGAAATGTGCCATATACCCAAGTTAAAACAGGATATTCAACAAGAAAAAAAAAAAAAGTAGTGTGAGACTTCACTATACCATAAACAGCCATCTTTATGACCCCATTAACTCCATTGGGGTCTATTTAAGTAAAGGTGTAAAC